GCCATGAGTTGGAGTTGGGTTTGTAGGTACAGAGCCATGAGTTGGAGCTGGGTTTGTAGGTACTGAGCCATGAGTTGGGTTTGGAGGTACAGAGCCACGAATTCAGTTGGGTCTGTAGGTACTGAGCCTTGAACTGGAGTTGGGTTCGTAGTTACTGATCCACAAGTCGGGTTTGTAGGCACTGAGCCACCAGTTGGACCCAATGATCCTTGCAGGTCCCTTCCAACTCAAGGTGTTCACTGCTTCTATGAGTGACGTGACAGTGGCCCTGTGCTGGGAACATGGCCAGGGATCACCAGAAGGCTGCAGGCAAAAGCAGGGGCACTGGGGTTTGCTTCTCATCAGAACAGTTCTGTTTTCTTTTCTCCAGGACGAGTTCATAAACTTCATAACATTTCCTTGAAAAATCAAATCTATAATTTCCTAAGCACAGTGTATTAGTTTTGCTCTTTTCAGTAAAGCACTCCAAATGTCTGGTTTTGAACGTTATCACTGTAAAATACTGTTTCCCTTCAATCCTTTCCATTCCTATAATGAAATCTGCCACGTATTTCAGCTGCAATTGCTTAAAATGGAATGAGGTTTCTTTATGACATATTTTGCAATCCTGTGACTTGTTGGATGGTTACCACTGCCTCCTCTTCCAGATCTGCAACGCGGGGTGGCACCTCTGTGAGAAACCAAGTGTGGCTTTACTCCACGGAATATCTTTACTGTAATGGTTAAATTCTCACTTCCAAAAACAGATCCTGAATGGAACTGAAATTACATCTGAAATCTATTCCAGTGAGCATCAAACTACAAGAAGTGGGTAACAGTTTGCTCAGTTGCGCCCAATGTAGAATTTGCCTGAATATAAAACTGATTTGTTTGATAAATCAGAACTTAAACAAGCAGTGAGAGAACAGAGCAGTTGCATGCAGATTGAGCCCCTGTACAGCACTGGAATAAACGGTGCCATTTATTATTTTGATCTTCTATTACATAACTGTAGGGTTTTATCCAGACGTCCCTCTTTACATGTGACCTGAATCCGTCCCATTATTATGTACATCTGCTTTAAATTATTCTGGATATATCGAGCTATATTTGGAAAATGCCCTTGACCATTCCTGCATATCTCCCTCATCTCAGAATTAACAGAACGGCTTTTTCTTTTCTCTTGCTCGCATCAAGAAGAGAAAACTTCTCCAGAGAGGGATGAAAGCTACATCAGATGCACTGCTCTGGAATCAGCCCTGTGGAACCACATCACTCCCAAGCTGTGACCTCGAGCTGCCAGAATGCTGAGGATGAACACCATGGAGCTCCAGCAGTGGCTCAAGGCCACCCCAGGTTGCTTTATCCAGGTGCTTCCCCAACAAACTGCTCTTCTCCCTCCCTACAAGACCAGGTCCAAACCTCGCCTGAGTTGCACAGCATTCGTTCTATGGAGAAATTTAAGAGAAATTCTCCTTTGCAGCACAAACCAAAGCTGCTTTCCAGCAGCCCCTCCTGCTGCCTCTGCATCAGACTGCCAGAAGGAAGTCACTTGTCAGTCAGGAACCAGCTGAGCCACACAGAGCCAGCAAAAGCAACGTCAACACTACCAGAAAATCTAATCCAATGTATGTCATGCTCTGGGTTTGAAGACATCCTTTGCACTTGTATTTGGGGATGGATTCTCTTGGATTTGCTCTCCTGTTTAAATGCCAGAGAAAAGAGAATGGGGAAAAGA